GTGGCAGCCGCAAAAGGGCTGCTGAGAACCAGGACTGGTAGTGTTTGGACTTGCTGACTTGCCCACTCTCTTGTTGGAGCACTCCGAATCCGTGTATGTGTGCACAGTGTGTGCCAGGAATGCATGACTCCAAGAGGATTTGCGTTGGCTTGTCAACACAATGTTGAGGCTGGAAAGGAACGTCCAATCCGAATTGCTTGTGCTGGTTCAACTTGCGTGGACCATTCCAGCTTTGGCAGCTTGACTTGACAATTGTATTGTAAAGCAATAGTAATAGTATGAACAAAACTTAACTATGCATGAATACGTGTAATTTACTGCAATGCTTGTTGCGTGTGCAGTGTGCAGTCCACTCAGATTATTGGCATTTTAGGCGCTGGACAGAGTTTCCTGGGGACCAGCGGGCTTCCTTTGGCAATTTTTCTTTGTGAAAGATTGATTTGCAAAGAGGCTGGACAGATTTCTTTGCCAAAGATTGATGTGGTACCGTTTTTGTTGCTGATCAAGCTGGTTAACCACTAACCGAATCACGTCTTTGTTCAATCAATGCTTTTGTTCTTTTGAATTAGTTTGGCAGGACGTGATCATCCATGAATGTGCCCCAGCCTTTGACTTGTCCACCTTCCGCAAGTACTTTGATGGTGTGTACACAGTGCACATCGTGGAGAAAGAGGCATGCATGATGCCTCCACTCCCTTTTTGCTAATCTATTTTTTCTAACTTTTTGTATTTTTATGGCAATGGTAACAGTCAACAATAGACAAACAATGTCCTGTCAGGATGGTAAGCAATTGATGCTGAGCCCTGACATGTTTGGGTGGCCCTGCCATCGACCTCGCAACTATTGTGTTTGCACCTTGGATGCTACATGCCGGTTGAAGGGTGCAGGATTCAGTTCAATTCGCGCTCTGTTCAGATCATCTGCTTTGAATGTCAGTGCACTTTTTTTGCGCCTCACAGGACACTTCTGATTGACTGTTTGTGGGTTCTGTTTGCATATATATATATATAAATATATAGATTCGCAGAGTAGGGTAGAGTAGAATAGAATGAGTCATTCGTTGTTCCTTTTTTGGTTTGCCCTGACCAGGATCTTGTCGAGGCTGAACGTCTGACAGCAGCACACAAAATGTGCAAACCCCTCAAGACTGAATTCCATCAGCTACTTCCAGGTAGGGGTGTGACTGTGACTGTGAGTCAAAGTCATGAAAGCTGGTGGTAGTAGTTAGTCACATGCTTTTCATGTCAGTCGTCAATTGTGCTATCAGGATGTCAGAAAATCTGGCTGGGCAAATACAGGGACTTGAACAAGGTCTTCAAGCACCAGCTCAAATGCCAGAAAGGTTCCTCGGTTGGAATGTGGAGAGAAGGGCAATCCCACAATGCTTGATGCATGTTTTGCCGCCAAGTTGGTGCAACTGGATGGATGGTGGCGAACCTGCAGCAGAATCCCCAGCGTCGACCAGTTGTGTCATCCAAATTGCCCTCCTTGCTCAAACAAGGCTGCATGTTTCTTTTGAGGGTTGGTGGCGCAGAGTCCGAGTGTGACAAAGAAGAACGTTGGCTTTTGGATGATGAGACTTGGTCCATGGTTTGTTGAAAGAGGGTTTGACGGCAGCTGAGCTGGTTTGAGTTTGAACCACAGAAATCATCGACCGGTACGCCGGTATGCTAAAATATATACATATTATTATATATATATATAATATATATATTATATATTATATGAGGTCAATGAGGTCAAGACAAGACGGTCTAGAGTCTAGAGTCTTAGTTTGTCAGTTTGTGGCATAAACTCAAGAAATTCCAAGCAATTAAACCAAGGAGTGGTTGCATGCTATGGGGTTTCCACGTTACCCAGTAGCAGCTTCTACCTCTGCCGCTTCAAACGATCTCTATGATATGTACTCGTACGATCCTCCTTCCACAGTCCGCAAAAGACTTGCAGGCAATGCCTCTCGGTGGCACCCAACAGTCAGTAACCATGAGCATAAGTCCTGTGATGTGGAAGCTTGGTTTTGACTTAAAACCTCAACCGCCGCTGAAGCGCCCTTCTAAGTCGATGCACGCTGCAGTCATTGGTGCAGTCCATGCTTCGGTATTGTCCACACTGGTGATGAATCCATGAAGGAGGATAGCTGCCCACAGGTAGGCTGGCTGTGAGAGAGGATGTGATTTGCAGCGCTGGACACTGGACACTGAACCTAGCTTTTGTCACACTCACTCACAGCCTGTTTGTTTGGTTCTATTTGTTTCTTGAAGTTTCAGTTGTGGTGCGGCGTGCAAGTCTGTGCCGATGGCTCGGGATTGCAGGGGAATGCTGTCACTGGGCTGTTTTATCGGCCTGAATGCAGACCGGATGGACCAGCGCATACAGACTGCTGGCCCTGGCGCCGGCGCCTTCCAAAAACAATTGCGCTGCAAATAGGCTGCCCAAAGTGAATCCTGGAACTGGAACTGGATTTGTAGACTGTAGACTGTAGACTGTAATCTAGAGACTCGACTCGACCCGACTGGAACTGGAAGCTGAGTTGATGTTTACTCTGTATAAAGTAAAGTATATTATATATATAATATATAATCATTGTTTTGCACAAGCATATTGCTCGAACAGTTTTACCTTTTGGTGCAGTGCAATAGCCTTGCATTGCTTTTGCCAGAAGAGAACGCTACTGCCATGCACTCGGAGGTGGACGTTGGTCAGGGTCAGGGTGACCAACCAAGCTTGAAGGATCTATGCCATAGTCTTAATGCCGGGTATGGGTCAATGGCTATTGTGCCATGTGGCCCCAGGGGCAAAGCAGCTGATGAAAACACCAGCAGCACCAGATCTCCGATGACGCCAGCCAGTCTGTTCGACCCTTCTTCAGAGCTTGATGTGCCTGCTCCTCCGGCACCATTTGCTCAGGAAGTTGAACGCAGTGGCAGTGATGGCTCTGACTTTGGGCTCTACAAAACTGTGTGCGCGATCCGCAAATGCAGGATGTCCATAGTGAGACAGCCAAACAGGTGGGACCATGGTGGGGAACGGAACAGTCTGGCAGATTCATTGATGTGTTGATTATTGTTCAGTGGACTGACAGTGGACCGGACTGTGCTGTACAGTTTACTGTAATTGCAACAATGATGATGATGATGTGGGTTCCGGACAAAGGCAACAGGATGGCACGGGTCAAACCTGGGTATTTGCTATTTTATATATTCTATATACCATGACTATGACCATTACATATGTTATTTATCTATATAGTATAGTATAGAGTACGCTTTGTGTTTGTCTAGTTAGACTTAGACTTCTTGTAGACATTAGACACTTGGCTTAGCTCTTTTTGTCACTGCCACTGCACTGTCTCAAGGCTGGTTCAAATGTGCTGCGCTCATTGGTGCGATCGGGGTGGTCTATATAAGCAAGCGAAGCAGAAGGACAAAGCCCTTGCTGAAAAGTTGGCTGACCTTGAGAAGAACAAGCCTGAAGAGTTTGTGGAGCACGTTGAACTTTATGGAGAGAAGATTCTCGTCCTAACTTGATGCCCACACAATTTCATTGTTGTCTCCTCTGTTGTTGTCACCTGTTGTGAGTTGTGAAGACTTGATTATATAGGCTTCTCTGACCCCTGCTTGCCCCACGTGAACAAAGGAATAGACTTGACCTTGACTTCAAGCCCTTTTTGCAAAGAGGTGCCCACCTACTGGAAAAGGCAAAGTTCGCAAGCTCTATGACTTCAGCCGGTTGACAAAGTACAAGTCCAGTGGTGCGCGGAATGAGACAGTTGCGCGGAAAGTGCCGATGTGCCAAGCAGACTACGTGGAATATATCACTGGACGCCATCGCACTCTTCATTGTCCCAGCTACTTGAGCGACTTGCATAAATACTTAAGTAATTTTATGTTTATTACCACTTCAATGATGATGTGTTTGCCTGTCAGTGTATGTGTGTATGAAATATAATCCATGCGTAAATTCCCAGGTTGCGGTGGGGTCCTGCGGCGGGGTCAGAACGGCGTCCCACACTCAGGGGTACCCCAAAATGAGAATTGCTGATCAAGATTCAAGATCTTTTCAACAATGGGCTTCAGGGCTTCAGAATATAATTGGTAACGTCGACGTCGACGTCAACTCAACGTATGTATTGTAACCTCACAAGCACGACAAACATACAGATTCTCTTTATACAATCAGGGTGCAGTGTAACCCCCTTTGAGCTGGGCCTAATAGTATATCTTAAATCTTAAATTAAAATAATGATTTCTGGAGTTACTGGAGTTCAGTTGGACCTGACCTGACCAGGACTATCGGATGATGCAGCAAAGAAAAAAATGGTCACAGCTGTTCGATTCGGCTGACATCAAGAAGGACTCGGTAGATTCCTACAACACTGATGGCAAAGGAGTTGGAAAAGTGTGGAGGTTGTGGATACCAGTCCAAGAGGAGGACAACAACATGCTTTACCAGGACCGTCGGAGTCGGCTGGTTTCAGTTCTAGTACTTCTACTCTACTAGTAGTACGACGACTACTACTCTAGTAACTTACTAGTAGTACTTAGTACTTAGTACTTAGTTTATAAACCCAGACTCAAACATTCTATGTTAAGTCGATTCAGATTAAGTAGATTTTATAAGATAAGAACTAAGAACTAAGATGAATTGAGATGGTTAGCTAAAGTTAGCTGGTTAAACTTTTACCTTCAGGACCATGGTGTCCGCCAAGATTGCAGCGAAGAGGTCAAGAATCCCTCGGATGCTGTTGTACAAGAACAAAAAGAGACGGCTGCCAGCATCTTTCAGGAGATGGAGTCTGAAGAAAGCCTGGTGCCAACCTCACTCATGAGTATGAGCAAAGCAGGTCATTCCGTCCAAGTGCCTGCAACTGCACCAGAGAAAAAACAAAAAGGCGAGGGCGAGGGGTGGAAATGCAGGTTCTGCACCATTGGTTGTGGCATCCAAGCAAAGGGCCAAAACAGCAAATTCACTAGCAGAAGCTGAACGGCTCCTGAACAAGGCTCAGAAGCAGGGTGAGGATGTGTTGAACATTGCTGCTCCAAAGCTCCTTGGGAAGGAGTGCAGTGAAGACCCGACCCTGGATGTGATTCGCAGTCGACTTACACTTGTCAGCCTTGCATTGAACTCATCGACCGAAAAGGATGGTGAGATAGCAAGCAAACGGCTGCGTGCTTTGGCAATGGAAGACAAGTACCTGAAGGATTGCGAGTCCACTCTTTTTGCTGAGTCAGATGCAGTGATGACTCTAGGAAGCCTGCGAGGAGAAAGGGCTGTCAAAATGGATTTGTTCCTCGACTTGACCCCAGAACATTTTGACTATATAGAATTGAATAGGGTCGGGCCGGGTCAGGTCAGTCAATCTAGTGTGTCTGTGTCACGTGTCTGTGTAAGAAAGAATCAAGAGTATTGAATATTGTTTGTGTAAGAATCTCCCACGGCCTCAGGCTTCCTACTGCGGACCACGTGCTGAAAATGGCAGAGAAGCACCGCACATCAATCGCAATTCTCAAGAAGCTGGCTGAGTGCTTGAGCAAGGAATCCGAGACTTGGCAATCTCAAGTCAAAGCTTTGCTCAAAGCAAAGCAAGACGAAGAGACTGCTCAGACCAAGGCAGCTCAAAAGGCAGAGTCGGCTAGAGCCAAAGAGATTGCAAAGCAAAGAATTAGAGAACAAAAGAAGCAAGAACGGGAACAGCAGCAAGAGCAGGCAAAGGCTGCCGCTGCCACAGAAGCACAACCAGGACCAGAGCCATTGTTGAATGAGCCAAAAAAGCGAAGAAGGACAGGAGGCATTGCAGAGCTATCAGAAGATGACCCTACGATCCTAAAGGAGATGACCAAGTTCAGTGGAGGATCATTGGTCTTTGCCAATGACCTACATGATTTTGGGCGCCGGGTCTGTCTTCACCCAGAGATTGCATGTGGAGTCAGGTTGAAGAGCACTCCGGTGAGGAAAGTCTTGGCGGCTTTGGCTCAGTTGGTTGGTGGGTGGCGGCGGCGGGTGGGGTCTTTGTTTGTGCCTAGTAGTGCCTAGGCCTAAGCCTAGAAACTGAAAACATGAATGAAGTTGGACTGCATTTTCCAATGTATTTAGTATTTAACATCAATAATCAAAAGCCTCAAAAAAACAGTATCATGTCAATGGTGTCCAGTGCAATCTGTATTGTTGTTTGTCTATGTCAATTTCAATGTTTGTCAGGCCAGGCGTCATTGGCTCAGACATCGATTATTGGTCATTGGTCAATCAAGTCGGTCAGGTCAGGTCCTGGTCCTGGTCACCGTCATTGAATTTTTTGTTTAACTAACTACTACTAACTAACAGCTAATAACAACTGTTTAACTGTTTACCTGTAACTAACTAAGGAGCTGTGCAAGGACTTCCAGGATGACCCTACAGTAAGCCTGAATCAGATCATGAAAAAACATTGCATCGGATGCATCAGAGTTTGAGGGTAATGCTGCCAAGATGTTCCAGATGCCTGACAGCGACAAGGAGCGAGTGACTTCAGTGAGGGCGGGGCCAGCAAAGCTTTTGGGTTTGGATAACTTCTTGACCAAGATTTTGGAAGATCTTGTCCAAGCAAAACAGCTAAGTGGTCTTACGAAAGGCATTTTGGACCGCTCTTATGTAGCAGACGTGCATCTTGGTGGCAGTGTCAGTGGCAGTAATCATTTTCCCCTAGTTCTGAGTCTGGTTTCAGTTTTGGTGTTCAGGCTTCAGGGGGTTCTAACTTCAACGGGTAGCGGTAGTAATGAGTCAGTCCAGTCCAGTGTCTTGCCTTACTTTCTCAGGTTCTTCAACGCAGTATCCAAAGTAGCGGGGGGAGCAACAGGCCCAGAAGCAGTCTGACTTCATGAACGGAATATCTTTTGCTGCCTCGAAGCCTGGCACCAAGTATGTCGGACATCTCCCATTACCATTGCCGACCCTCACCTATCAATTTCAGGGAAATCGGCTGGTTGCTTTCGTGAATGTGATGGACTTGCTAGAACTGATCGTCTCGGATGAATGTGGGAAGTTCGGTGACACTGTGACTTCTGACAAGGCACCTGCCATGCTTCAGGACGGTTTTCACAGTGCACTGTCAGTCAGTTTACTGTTTATTCTTTAAAACACTTAGACTCAGACTCATGACTAAGACTATGATTTGTGATTAGACTAATATAACTGCGTGACGTGGTCAGTGGCAGTGGTGTGGTGTCTGACACTGCGTCAGGAAGCTCTGAAGACACTTGAGTACTTGGACAAAAAATCAATACGAGAAAAACAAGGAGGATCTGCTGTCCACCCTTCGCTGGGCCTATGTCATTCCTGGCGATATTGTGTGGGTGCCTTTCGGGCACATCATGGTTGAGAAGTCTGTTGGTTCGGTGGTGGGCACGACGGTAAGGATCGCATCAACACTATTTCACGAGGCACAACTCGGAGCAGCCATGCTGTACACCAGCGCTTATCCACAGAAACTTGGACTAGGACTAGGACTCGGACTAAGTAGGTATATAACTAGTAGTAGTGGTAGTGGTCCACTAGTAACTTGTAACTTGTAACTGGTTACTAGTAACGACTAGACTAGTGACTAGGACTAGGACTTAGGACTCAACTCAAATTTCAATTTTGGGCTAGGGCCGGGCCGACGCCGGGGCATTTTGTAGCCAAGGAATCCAGTGCTCCGAGCTGTGGCGCATTTGTCTTCTGCGATTGTCAAGGACCCCCCGGTCTCTTCAGGCTTTTGAAAAGCCAAAGGAAGAATGTCAGGAGTCGGAGGCGGCGGCGGAGGGTGAGGAGCCAGCAGACGAGGACCTGGAGGAGGAGGAGGAGGAGCCAGCAGACTCAGCAGCAAACACACAAGCAGCACTGGCACTCGCAACATCAAAGGCACCACCAGCAGTGACAACACCGGCAGAGCACAATGAACAAGTGGCAGCAAAAGCGGCGCCAAAAGCTGATGAGAGTGCAGGACCACAACAAGCAACA